TTGCTAATAAAATATTTTCTGGTAGTCTTCACTTTAAATTCTTGCCTCAGCCACCAGCTCTGTCCATCCCTGTGGGAGGATAGCTAATAAATTCATTTGATCTTTTTATTTCCATATAGACTTGAGTGTAAAATCTGTAGCAAGCCAAAATGTTTCCCTGGATGACTCTTTAAGGACTACTCTAGAAATAAAACTACAATCTAGATCACTCCAAGGATCAATTCTTGACTGTCATCTGCTTCCCTGGCATGCAGACATATTTCTCAAGGTCCCTTGACCTTGGGAGATTTGAAAGGCTCAATGTTCAAAATGTTTAATTTTTTTTTTTCTTTTTTGAGACGGGTACTTCTTACGTTGCCTAGGCTGGATGTGCAGTGACCACTTGCTGTCCCAGTGTCCCTGCCGACGGCACTGAAACTTTGATCTGCTCCGTTTCTGACCTGGCTTGCCTCGGTGTGGTGCCATCTTCCTCATAGGGGTTCACCATTTCGGTACAGTACTTACTACAGTCACTCACTTAGCATAGCCTACTGCAACTCAGAATTCCTGAACTCAAGCAAGCCACCAGCCTCAGCACCCATGGTAGCAAGGATTTTAAGCATGCACCACCATGTCATCTCATTGGATAAGGCTTATTCAGGGCAATCGTGCGATTGATTACAGAGTTGTTTAGTGTGGCCTTGGCTTCCTGATTGACTTGGATGATGCTGTGATCCTCCACCAGGACAGATTGCAACATGTTCAAACCTTCCCAGCTTGTACAATTCTTGTTCAGGTATGACCCACCACACAAGAAGTCTTAAATTCTTTTAATATTTCATGGATGCCAGTTCAGCATGTGGAATATCTTTTTCTTCTGGCTAGATCACTGACCAACCTCTTCTTCTAACCATTCATATTTAAGGACATCATCGTAAGAATAGTTCATATTTCCTTAGAACTCTAAGATTTACAACAAAGCTCTTTCCTTACAACCCAGGGATGGTAGTGCAAATATTATTTTCATTTTATAGATGAGAAAGTATAGGTGCAGAGAAAAAGCGATTTCTTCGAGGTCATTTAGCTAGTGTGTGTTAGAGTTGAGATCTTTCTCACTGCTTCCGCCATTTTGTATGCCACCCGCAGGATTAGTACCTTACCTTGCTGTTTCTATTTTGCTCTGCAATTTGACTCAAACAAGTGATCCATGGTGACTGGGAATAAGGACATTTCCCCTGGTTGTACGGGGGAGAAAATGAAAGTGCCTTGGGTAATGAGGATGACTAGGAGCAGGTGACTGTTAAATTGGATACTTGTGCGTCCGCGTCCCCCGTCCCCGTCCCTCCCCCCACCCCCCCGCTGGCTGGTGTGAATTGGATAGGATCATAGTTGAGTTATATAGACCATATTAACTGTCATTGGGTATGTGTCACCAGGGGCTGCCAGAAGCCCCTGCTGATTTACCAAAAGCTGCAGAGTGCAGGGCGGTGCCAACCACAGGAGGCTAGCGACAGTTAGCAAAGCCGGGAACGGGGCTTCTGGAGGAATGATACCTCGTGTATACATGAAGGAACTTAACACGGGTCAGAACTAAGTGAATAAAGCACAGCTCGTGCTCCTTTTTGTAGGCTGGTGGTGAAATTCAGGCAAATTCAAGTTGGGCAAATATACATTCAGTGTCCACTATCTTCAGGGTGCTCTGTGCTAGGCTTGGACGATATTTAAATAAGGCTTGCAGGAAGCTTATAGAACACACACACAAATGCAGAAATGAGTTGCAAAACTAGAACAACCAAGGAAAGCTTTCTGGAAAAGATGGTTGTTGAGCTTGAAGGATGAATAGAATTTTAACAGGTTGACAAGGAAAGGGAAACACTTTCTAGATTTATGGAATGTTATCAGCAAAGGCACAGGAGTAGGAAAGAATAGGCTATGTGTTTTGGGGGGAAGAGGGTTGGTGCAGCAAGGAGTTCAGTTTGGCTAAAGGAGTTTTGGGAGATAAGGATAGAAAAGTAGAGTGGTACGGGATTGTAGAGGACCTTGAAAGCTGGAAAACCTTGAATTTTAATTTTATCCCTCGGGTCATAAAGAGTCATTAAAGAGTTTTGAGCTATTCAATTATCTGCTCAACATGGCATTTTCTCCTTAAAAGAATGTTTTTCTTTTTTTTTTTCTTTGCTATTGGGGTTAAGTAACTTGCCCAGGATCACACAGCTGGTTAAGTGTCAAATGTTTGGTCTGAGGTCACATTTGAACTCAGGTCCTCCTGACTTCAGGGCCAGTGTTCTATCCATTTCGCCAGCCACCTAGCTGCCCCTGAATGTTTCTTTTATTTACATGTAGGCTTGTTCTCCCATGACTTTTCTTAGTCTGCAGAATGTATTTGCATCTGCAAGGTATAGGTTGGGGGGAGAAGAATGAATACAGGCCATGAACACTCTCTAATCTTTATTCTTTGTCTTCTATGTTGTTTGTTGTTGCCTGTAGACATGTCCAGGACTCCATCTTAAAAAAAGACATCCCTTTGATTCTCTCATCTTCTGTCGCTCTTCGCTTTCATGGCTAAACTCCTAGAAAAAGCTATGCACTAGTGTGGCTTCCAGTTCTATTTCCTTTCCTCTCACTCTCTTAATGTTTCTGCAGTCTACTTTCCAGCATCAGTACTCAAGGGAAACTGCTCTCTCCAGAGTTACCAATGATGTCTTAATTGCCAAATCCAGTAGCCTTTTCTCGGCCCTCATCCTTAATTTCTCTGCAGCATACTCAGTTTTATTAATCTTTCTTCTTGAATTCATTTTCCTCTCTCGGTTTTCAAGACGACTTTCCTGTTTCTCTTCTTTTACCAGACCATTTCTTGGGGTTCTTTGCTGGATCGTCGTCCATGTCGCACTCTCTAACTATGGTTGTACCAAGAAGGCTTTGTCCTGGGTCCTCCTCTCTTTACACTCTCAGTGACTTCATCAATCCCGATGGAGTCAGTTATCTCTTTGCAGATGACTCCTAGATCTTTATATCCATTTTTTCCCTCAGCTACAGCCGTAATTCACCAAAATTGCCTGACAGTTTGAACTGGATATCTTTTAGGTATCTCAAACTCAACATGTCCAAAACAACTCGAGTTTATCCTTAAAACCTACCCCTCTGCTTAACTTCCCAGTTTCTGTCTAGGGCATCACATCCATCCAGTCGTACGTGTTCGTACCCTGAGTCAACTTCCGTTATTCATTCGTCTTCACCCTACGTCCAATCAATTGCCAAGTTTTTTTTTTTCCAATTTACTTTCACAACGTCTCAGGCATTTGTTCCTTTCTCACAGGGCTTCTTAGTTAAGGCCCTCATCACCTCTTGCCTGGACTAGCATAATATCCTTCTCATTGATCTCCCCCTCAAGTATCTCCCCATTCCAATCCACGCACAGTTACCAAAGTAATTTTCATAAAGCACAGGTGTGATCATGTCATTCCCTGCTCAGTCATCTCTAGTGCCTCCCTGTTATCTGTAGGGTCAAATATAGACTCTTCTGTTTAACCTTTGAAGCCCTTCACAGTTATTCCCGACTACCTTTCCAGACTTATCATATGTTATTTTCCTTCCTGCATTCTGTGATCTAGTCAAACTGGTCGCCTTGCCATTCCTCACATACGACATTCCTTCTCCCAGCTCTCTGCCTTTGCTTGTGCAGGCTGTTTGCCAGGTTTGGAATGCATACCTCCTTTCCTCTGCCTCTTAGAATCCTTGCCTTCCTTCAAAGCTCAGCTCAGGGACACTTCCTACATGGGCTTGCCTATTTCCTCCAGCTGCTTGTGTCTCTACTCTATCCCCGGCCCCCAAAGTTATCTTGTATATATTTGGAATCAATTTTGCATATATTTGTGTACATGTTATTTCCCTCAATGGAATGTAAACTTCTGAAGGGCCCTTTTATTTTTGTCTTTGTATCCCCAGCATTGGCTCAGTGGGTGTCACATAATAGGTTCATAATAAATGCTGATTGATTGATTTATGCGTCCAGGGACCATACCAGATTGCTTGAGCAATTTTCTGTGATGCCAGTTGAGAAACCTTTCTGGGTTCTGTTTGCATCAGAGACTAAAAGATTCCTATGGTTTCCAGAGCCAGGACATATAATTTCTGACATGACCCAATCTCAGGGCAGAGTTTAGATAAGGCATGAATCCTGCTTCCAAGGAGCTTACTTAGATGGGATGTCTTGGTATGACAGGACATGGTCGCATCCTTCCGTGGCCAGGTTCCTTACCAGCCCTACTTTATTTATCCTTGAGAACTTCTCAGGGACTTCATTCCTTTTCAGTGTGTGTGTGTGTGTGTGTGTGTGTGTGTGTATACACATACATATACACACATATATATTATCTATCTTTCATTTTTCACATCATCAGAATTTTCTCCAGTATCCCTTCCCCTCCCTTCCCAGAGAGCCATTCATTACATCAAATGATATTTTTAAAGGAAAAAGAGGAACAAGAGGGAAAAAATCGGCAAAGCAATCAATACATCAAAAAAGTCTGAAAATGCCCATGAATGCCCATCTTGCAAAGGAGGGGGTGGGCATATCCTCTTTGGAGCCATGCTTTTTTTTTTCTTTTTTGATTAGGCAGTGGGGTTAAGTGACCTGCCCAGGGTCACACAGCTAGTAAGTGTTATGTGTCTGAGGCTGGATTTGAACTCAGGTATTCCTGAATTCAGGCCTGGTGCTCTTTCCATTGTGCTGCCTTGCTGCCCCCTCCTTTTTTTTTTTAGTAGTAATTTTGCAACATTCACTTTTGATTGTTTCTTGGGTGTTCTCATTATGTGCATTTTGTTTGTTTTTGGCTATGCTTACTAATTTCACTCTGCATCAGAACCAGCAAATCTTTCTATGCTTCTCTGTATTGATCATATTCACAGTTTGAAGCACACAAGGAAACTAAAATTGAAAAAGGTTATAAGCACCTTGCCTAGGGTCACCCAGCTGTGTCTGGGTATCTGAGACAGGATAGTTAGAGATAAGGGAATGCCATTCTAGTTTCAGGGAATATTGTGAGCATGGGAGAGGTGGGGATGAGAACTGGTCCAGATAGCTGGAGTATAAGAATACAGTGAGAGGAATTAGTAAATGATGATTTTTTCTCTCCTAACGCGGTGCTCTGCCCACAACCAATGTTTGTTGCATGAGGCATATTGGAGACATGCTGTGGAGGGAGGAGACTTTAATGCCAGGTCCGGCATACTTTTGTCAGTAGTCAAAGGGTGATCAGAAAGGTGCCTTACGACACTTAGTTGAGCAGCATGCGTAGAGTGGATTGTAGAAGGGAGAGATTAAAGGCAGGAAGACCACCTCTTAGGCTCTCTGCCTGGATCCTGATTTCAGCAGGGCCCATGGGCAACAGCTCAAGCCTGGCTGTGTCCACCCTGGTTCTTATGGTAACGGACCCAAGCAAATGGTATAAATAGCACAATGGCAGATAATCCAATGAGACACCCTCTGCAGCAGCACAGAACATGCATTCCTCACTTCTTGGGCTGTTTCCTGGGATCAGGTGTCTCGGCAATGCCTTTTAGTCCAGGTAAAGCCAAGTTGGTTGGCCTGTGCTCCCCGCCCCAGCATTTTGGCTACGCTTTGCCTTCCCCTTCCATGATCTCCTTACCCCCCCCCCAACCCCAGACTTCATATCTTCATATAGTGATGCTTCCAAGTCTATTCCTTGGACATTTCCTATCCTTGGAACAGCTGCACTGGGCCTGCCTGGTCTAGGGTATCTTCCTTCCAGTTGATCCTATAGGGAGATGTTCAGTAGTTGTAGGGTGTGTCGAGATGACCTTGGTTCCCTGATGTCACTGGAGTGCTATGTTTGGATGTAGTCACTGGGTCGCAGGAGTTCTGAGAGGTGGGGGTGGGATGTGAGGAGGAGATGTAAGAATCTGCTTGCCGTTGTCTGGGGGTTCCCAGTGAGTGTTCACCCCTTGTGTGGGAGGAATTATTCTGTAGGACATAGGATTTGGAGTTGACAAGAACCTTAGAGAATATCTAGTCTGATGCCTTTTTTTTTTAATAGATGAGGAAACAAGACCAGAGAAGGTAAGTTATTTGCCCAAGGTCGCATAGCAACTAAGTGGCAAAATTAGGACTGAAATACAGTCCTATGATTGCACATCTAGCATTTACTGCATCGCCTCTAACTCGATGACTGATGCTCTGGGGGTGTACCTAAGATCAGAGTAAGTGGTAGGAATTTTAGTACTTGAATGCCAAATGTTCAGATTTCAGGATCAATGTGTTCAATATGTCAGTGGTGAATGTCTACTATCTGCTCAGTCCCTGCCCTCAAAAAACTTACACTGGTAGTTGAGAGACAAGACGTACACATGAATCCACAGAGGTTATTAAAGGAATGTAGAGGGGGTACAAGTCAAAGATGATGGAGTTCTTGAGTCTCAAGGGCTTGAGGGATGATGGTGTCATTGATGGAAACAGGGAAATCAGCCTGGTAAATTGGAAAAGACACTGAACTTGAAATGGGAGAACCTGGTGTTAAATCCTATCTCTGTTACTAGCTGTTTGACCTTGAATAAATTATTTCCCCTCTCTAGGCCTCAGTTTCCTCCTCTGTAAGATGAGAAGAGTTGATCTCAAAGTCTATTCCAGCTCTAAAACATATGAATCCTAAGTCAGGAGAAACAGCAGCTTAAGGGGGATGGGGGTGGGTTTCAGCTTCTCAGGAAGGAGAGTAACTCCCGTTTTTTGTACCTATGTGAGTCACAGGACACTCTCTATGGCCCTTCTTCATTCCCCTAGAGACTGAACCATTACCATGGATCAGTAATGTTCTTAACTGATCTTCCTTCCTCCTGTCTTTTCCCTTTTCTAATCCATCCTTCCCGAAGATGCCAATTTTTTAACACCTGTGTCTGACCAGATATCACAGAGCTGCTTAAAAACTATCAATAGCTCCCTACTACTAAGATAAAGCTTGAACTCCTTGGTATGTTAAGCTATCTAGAATCTAACCTTAAATCTATCTTCTCCACCTTCTCTCACACTGTTCCTTTTCTTAATGCCTTTTTTTTTTTCGGCAAGGCAGTCTGGTTTAAGTCACACAGAGTCATACAGCTAGTAAGTTTCAAGTATCTGAGGCCAGATTTGAACCTGGGTTTTCCTGACTGCTGGGTTGGTGTTCTATCCCCTGTGCCACCTAGCTGCCCCCCACCCCTGCGCTGTGTGTGCTCCACATAGTCACGTCATCTCTCTCCCATGCATAGAATATGAAACCTCTTCATCTCTGCCTGTTGAAATCTTTCCCTGCTTTCATGACCCACTCAGATGTTGCCATGTCCACGGATTCTTTCCTGATGCCCCGTTCCCTTCCAACCCAAACTGATCTCTTTCTCTTCGTATTCTCCTGAAGCAGTTTGGATCTCGCCTCTGCTCCCGCCATGTTCTACCTTTTACTTGTCTGTGTACGTGACATAACCTCCAACTCTCTCCAGCAGATTGAAAGCTCTTTGAGGGTTGGGAGCCATCTTTGGATTTATGGAGCTGAGCAGCCAACATTCACAATGGCTTTCGGGGCCCCAGCTTTGTCATCCATACCATAAGGTTATTTTAGAGTTTCCTTCCAATGTTAACATTCTTTGATTGTGTGAATCTATAAAAGGGATGGATGTAAGAGGTACTGAGAGGAAAAAAAAAAGAAAACAACGTGCCTGGTGACTCATTTGGACATGTGCCATGAGGAAGAGGGGAAGAGAGCTGAGGTTTCTTTGCTTGGGTACCCATCTATATTTTCTATGTTAGGGCTCTGCACAGGAATGGCCATAACCATATTGGTTGCTTGTTGAACCTCTTGGGAGATGTAGCGGTCCAGGAGTCAGCCACACTCATAGGATTCTGAGAACACACAGTGAGCCCCAGATTGGCCTGTAGCAAACATCTTTGGCTTCTATAGTAGAGCTCAGGTCATTGTCTCTTGTTTGCTAGTGTTCTGACTTCTAAGACCCCACACCCCCTTGCTGAGCTCCGCTTGACCCCTATCGGACTTCATTTACTGCTTTCCTGGCCCTTGACATGTGTCTGCCTGAACCTTCCAGACATGTCTGCCTGTCTGGGCTCTGCCCAGTACCTGGTTAAACCAAGATACCTTTCTGATCTCTTCCGGATTTCCACCTATTGCCTACCTCCCCTTCAATATGCATCTGACTCTTCTTGCTGTCCACCTAGCTGACTTAGGATACCTGCCTGACTCTTGGTCAGCCCTGTCCTGTGTGTCTTCCTACTGTTGGTGTTAGAGAGGGGAGTGCGGGTTGTGTGAGAAACCTGTGCTAGCAGTGGGAGGCTTGATCTCTCTCTCCTCTCCAGCTTTGGGTTGAGGTAATAATGGTTTTCTGGCTGGGAGCTCAGACGCTTTGGTGGATCCCATATTCTAGCTAGTGGCTGTGGCTTTCCTCTTTAAAAAAAAATGGATTATGTGTTAATGAAGTTGAATGAGATCTTGTTCTGGGAAGAGGCACAAAAGACCCTATATGCACTCTCCCTCCCAAAATAGCCTGATGACTGTTTCATACTTGGTTCCTACTATCCCACTTCTGGGAGGCCACACAATGTGACCGACGGATCACCAGTCAGGGAGTCAGATTTGGGTTCAGGTGCCAGCTCCGTCATTCACGGTTTGACCTTGGGCAAGTCACTTGCTCTTTCTGTACTTCAGTTCCCTCTTCTGTAAAAAGAGGGAGTTGAAGTAGATTATCCCTAAGGTGTCTTCTAGCTCTGACACAGCATCCTAAGGTTCTTTTACACTCCACCAATGTGGAGAACCAGCAATAATGTAAATGAAAATACTGTGAGACATCAGAATTCAGATTATGTGTAATAACTAATGTAACTCGAGTCCTAAAGCCCATCGGTGTGGGATTGTTTCTTTGTTGGAGGAGATTAGTGTCCTTTCTTGCATGTGACAGACTTTGACCCAATTCCTGCACACTTGACATGCAGAGACATGCAGAGGATAAGAGGCAAGAGGTTTCAGTGAACAGTGTAGGAACCCCAACCATCCATCCTCTGAGCTGGATCCTGGGTATTTGACTTTGGGATTCCATAGTACCTCACAAGTGGAAGGATACATTGAGGCTGGAACTTAACAAGGACAGATGTATTCTCATTGAATGGGTGGGGTACAGGATGTTCTCAAGGCACAACCCACAGAACCCAGCTCACCAATTCTAGACCATTCAAAGAAAGATCAAGGAGGATTCCTCTGTCTGTGACAGAAGATTTCAGAAACCATCTCAAAGAAATGCCGGCTAAGTGTCTCTGATAAGGGCCTGTTCTAAAATATATAGAGAGTTAAGTCAAATTTATAAGAATACAAGTCATTCCCCAACTGATAAAATTTGGTCAAAGGATATGAACAGGCAGTTCTCAGATAAAGAAATTAAAGCTATCTATAGTCACATGAAAAAATGCTCTAAATCTCTATTGATTAGAGAAATGCAAATCAAAACAACTCTGAGGTACCATATCACACTTATCAGATTGGCCAACATGACAAAACAGGAAAATGATAAATGTTGGAGAAGATGTGCAAAAATTGGAACACTAATGCATTGGCGGAGTTGTGAAATCCAACTATTTTGGAGAACAATTTCTAACTATGCCCAGAGGCTATAAAAATGTGTATACCCTTTGACCCAGTAATAGCACTTCTAGGGCTATATCCCAAAGAGATCATACAAATGGGAAAAGGACCCACATGTACAAAAATATTTATAGCAGCTCTTTTTGCAGTGGCAAAGAATTGGAAATTGAAGGGATGCCCATCAGTTGGGGAATGGCTGAATAAGTTGTGGTATATGAATGTAATGGAATACTATTGTGCTATAAGAAATGATAAGCAAGCGGACTTCAGAAAAACCTGGAAAGATGTATATGGACTGATGCTGAGTGAAGTGAGCAGAACCATGGGAACACTGTACACAGTAATAGCCACGTTGTGCGATGACTAACTTTGATAGACTTAGCCTTTCTCTGCAACGCAAGGATCTAAGACATCTCCAAGGGTCTCATAATGGAAAATGCTATCCAAGTCCAAAGAAAGAACCATGGAGTTTGAATGCAGATTGAAGCATACTATTTGCTATTTTTTTTCTTCTGTTTTGTTTTGTTTCCTCTTTCTGATGGTTTCTACTATTAGTTCTAATTCTTCCTTACAACAGCACTAATGTGAAAATATGTTTAATAGGAATGTATACGTGTAGCCTATATCAGATTGTGAGCCTTCTTGGGGAGGAAGGGAGGGAGGGAGGAGGAGAAAAATTTAAAACTCAAAAGCTTATGGAAGTGATTGTTGCTAAATCAAAATAAATTAAAAAAAAAAAAAGAAATGCTGGTTGATGGCATCATCACAGAATCCAGCAGCCCTTATACATCACCTAGAGGGCGGTGCCTAGGAAAGATGGAAAGGTACAGATGTGTGTTAATTACCAAACTTTGAACACAAGGACCAAAGGAGACCAGTACACTATGCCGTGGATACAAGATGCCCTGGGTTATCTGTTAGTCAGCCAGGGTTTT